TCGTGTTGCGTCTGTATGTCCGTGTGGACGGTCCCAAGCCCTCAAGCTTCAAGTATTGAATTCGAAGGTCTATTCATGGTCGTGAGTGGTCGCGCAATCAAAATTACATCAACACAGCCTCCATGTTACTGTCGCAAGGTCTCGTAACTAGTCAAGCTTCAAGTCCGATGTCGTAGTGATGTCGCAACCCGTTGTGTGAGATGCTGCCACAGCCTTCATGAATAGGACCTTCGACATGATGAATGTAAGGGCGCTTCAAGAATCAAGAGGGAGATGCTCAGTATTTCAGCAAGACATACACTCGTCCGAGCACACTTGGTTGGCTTGGAATGCTAATTGGAATGAGCGTCAAGACAAAACACCTCTAGAGTAGACTCTAGTGAGTCTAGTAGTGATCCAGAACCCAGCCTGAATGTTGTGCGATGTGTTAGCTTCAGCTGCGAACTTGAAGCATAGCATAGATGAGCATCAGATTAAGTCGGGAGTTCGCGGCGCTCCCCTCGCTGCAGTCCCACTGCAAGACGACAAATTAAAAAAGACTAGCATAGCAGCAACTCGTTTCGATCGAGTGACCTCAGGGTTGCATTCACAGGTATGAGCCCCGCGCGCTTCCAACTGCGCCATGCTGCTGTGTTTTGTTGCACCCGAGTTGAGTTCAAGGGGAGCCAGCAAGGAGCCAGCGTAGTGGCATAAAACCGAGGAGGACGGAGGCAAATTCTGCTTGAGGTATGATATATGAACGAACAAGTGCAATCCTCGAGGCCGAACGTTCAAAGCTATTGGAAAGCTAGGCAGAAACTTGCACGTGGTCCAGTGACATACACCAAGTTCGACAGGGCGGACACCAGATTTCAAAATGTCACAACACTCTGTAGAGCCAATTGTAACCAACTGTAACGTTCAAGACAATGGATTGACAGAAGGATGAACGCGGTGTAGAGCGGGGTAAAGAGATACGCGTGTGACGTTGGGGCAATATGTTACTGTATCGAGCGCTGAGCGGGCGCGGGCGGCATGAACGCGCGTTGGGGAACGCCTATCACGAATAAATTTGTCATCGGGGGAGGACCTGGATACGTATACCCCATGCCGGCGTCAGATTTTCATCCCTAGTGTGAGTTGGCAGTCGACTCTGAGAAAAATCCTAGCTCGTCGTAGCACACAGCGATCAGACTCACGCTCACGATGAGCAAGGGCCGGTTTACTTGGGCATTTAGACTTTGTTCTTGGGAATCCGAACTTCCGAAGGTAAAATGGTCCCGGGTCAGGGTCGCAACATTTGAAACGAGACACATCCGAAATCAGCTTCCGAGGATATCTAGCGCTGTCGCCTCTTGTCTCTTAACCACCATCTGCATCTGTCCTATGCTCTCGGCAACATAATTCTCCTTCACGATACCCCTCACGATAAGCTATAGACGACAAGCTCTTGCATCTGCGCACATCTATCGAGAAACTCGCTCGGACTCTGCAGTCGGATATGGCGACGGCAACATCGACGAAGACGACGGGCGCGGGCCATACTCAGCAGCACCATCACCACCAAATCATCGTTTCGAATCCCTTTGCTCACCACGGACACGCAGACGACGACGACGACGATGAATCCAAGAATGATAAATCTGCCTTATCCTCTCAGCCACACACTCCTACCACAGCGACACCCCCTAACCTCAGTTCCCAGCTCACGCCCAGCAGCGGGCTCCGCGCCCAGCTGCACCACCTCCTCCCTAGACACGCCTTCTTTCACGTACAGATCGTGGTGCACCAGATCACGAACATCCCGCTCGTGACGGGCGAGTTTGCGGTGAAGTGGAAGTTTAAAAACGTGCATAGCCTGCCGGGGTGCAAGGTCGGGGACGGCAGAGGATTGTTTGCGCGGGTTAGGGCACGGAGGAGGGCGAGGATTGAAGAGAGGGCGGAGAGGGAGAAGAGCAGAGGGCGGGCAGGCGAGGAGGAGGATGGATACGGGGATGGAGAGGACACGGTGAGTCTGGGCAGCAGCGAGGCAGCGTCACAGCACCGCGCGTCGATCGACGGCCGCTCGACGTCCGCATCCCTCTGGTCCGGCAAATCCTCATCCTCGTCCTCGTCCTCCTCATCACACACGAACACCTCGCGCACGTTCGTGCACAACCCCTCCCTCACTGCATCCCACTCCCTCGCGTCTACCACGACCTTTGCCACTTCCACCACAACTTCGAATCCATCTGTCTCGCCCTCCCTGGGCATGGGGGCAGGCGGAGTGGCATTCGGGACCCCTGCGACAGCCACGACGCCCGCCAAGGCCCAAACACAATTCCGCAAGCTAAAGGATCATAATGTGACATGGGACCACACGATCTCACTCCTTGTCCGCATGGACGTCAACCGGGACCCCCAGTCCACGCTCATGTCGTGTCCCGTCCAGCTTTCCGTTCTCCAGCGCCAGCCTGAGGCTGCTGCTCCTGAGGCTAGCCATGCGAAAGATGCTGCTAGTTCTGATGTCAGTGTACACGGGAGTGGTAATGCGAAGCACAACCACCACCACCACAATGGTCCACGCCCAACGCGCTTTGGGGTGGTGAACCTGGATTTGGCGCAGTACGCGTGTAAGGGCGAGGTCGGGAGGAGGTATCTGCTCAGGGAAAGCAAGACGAATGCCACACTCAAAGTACGTGATCATATGTATTTAGTACGATCTATTCCTCGTTGACCTGCCTTTTTACGTGCCCCCGCAGCTAACGACATACTTAACCCACCTCCCGAGCACGAACACCGGCTCTTGCGTGTCCACGCCGACGAGTACGACACCTCGGCCATCCACGCCGACATCCACGGCGTTTTTCTCCACGTCCTCGGCGTCAGGAGGATCGCCAGCGATGTTCCACTCGAACCTCTCCCGCTCAGTTCTCTCAACACCCCCCGCTCACGCGTCCTCATTCTCCTCCTCGGGTTCATCGTCGTTACACCCTTCCTCTGCATCGCACCTCTCCGCTTCCTCCGCCCACTCCAACTCCCACTCCTCCAGCTCATCCACCTCGAACAGCTGGAATTCAACCTTCTCCGCCGCCGCCACCCCGCCTACCTCCTCCGCCACTAACACATTCACCGCCCCGCCCCTTCCGCGCGGCGAGATCCTCAACGGCATCTCCAACATCCTCACCTCCGGGCCGAACCCCTTCTCGCCTCTGGGGCCAACAGGGGAGAATGATATGTATAGGGTGCGGCCGAAGGGCCTGGATCTGTATGGCCCGTATTATGATCAGGAGGAATTGGATATTGATTTGTTGGGGGGGAGGAGAAAGGAGGGGAGGGGTAAGCGGAAGGGAAAGGTAAAGGGCAAGGAGCGTGGCCAGGATATCGACGAGGGGCTTGATAAGAGGAAAGGGCAAGGTAATGGGAAAGACAAAGACACCCACACCCGCGATCGCTCAGACTCGCAGCCCCGCGCGTTCGATCCGACCCGCCTCCCGCTCGCCTATGGCCCCAAGACGACTGAGGCACTCATCGACGCGCTGTTCAACCCCGTCAGGCAGACGACGCACGAGGAGGGCGAGCGTGAGGGCCCGTTTGTGATGTTCGTTGAGGATGAAGACGTGGACGAGGAGAGTGGGGTTGATTCAAGGCAGAGGCTGATGACGCCCACTGCGAAAATGTTGATGGGCTCGACGAGCCCGAGCCCGACAATCCTCGCCACGTCCCCGCGTTCGGTGTCCGCACCCACGCCGCCGTCGCTGATGGGCTCGTCGACAGCTACGCTCACTCCACGTCCGGCCGAGGGGCTGCTCGCGCCAGGTATCCTTTTGGCTCAATCCACCTCTGTATCGTCCAAATCGCCCCGAGTTTCGCCGCGGCCTGCGTTTGGGGGCGCGGGGTCGACGTCGCCCACGCCGAAGGCAAACGCTAGTTCTAATACCTCGAGACCGTCGACACCACGGCGCTTGAGCAGCCACAACCGCACTGGGAGCGCTGGTATCGGAGCCGGGCTGGGCATAATGGGGCTTGGGATGGGGCTGGGTGTAGGGCTGGGTGTGGGCGTTGGTGTGACTAATGGTCATGTGGGAGGGGGAGAGGGGGAGGGCAGGATCAGCCTGGAGTCGTACACACCGCGGGGGAGCGTGGATGCAGCTGCAGATTTGAATAACGTGGAGAAGGATGATTGGACGGGGAGTCGGAGCGTTGATGGGCATGGGCACGAACGAGGGACGACGTGGTTAAGCGCGAGTGTCGATGGACATGGGCGCGGTGAAGCGCGAAGAAAGGCGGCTGCGGGGGAACGCGAGGCTCCTGGCACAGCGGGAGGAATGAAGGGCTGGTGGAAGAAGATGAATGAACGCGACCGCGTCGGGGTGGCGGTGGCGCCGCCTCTATCGGTGTCGGTGTCTGCGCGATAGTGCAGCCCGGGTGGAGTGGGGTGGTTCTTTCTGTTCGCCTTGGATTCGAGTTTTGGGGCTGTCTTGGGCAAAGACTCGGTGCTTCATGGTGCTTTGTTTTCGCTCTGTACTATAGATAGTATTTATTTATATTCTTTCCGCGCCCTTTGGTACTTACAGATGCCTATTTTAATCTCTCTCATGGCCTTTTGCCTATTTAGGCCCTGCTGCGCCACACACAGCGCCTCCTCTTTCACACCCATAAACATACAGAGAATGTGTCGCCGACTGGCTTTATCGTACTGCCCTCCATCTCAGCCGAGATATATCAAAAAGCGCTTCTCTGGTACCAGTATAGGCGCCCAGGAAGCTTTACTTATGTAAATGCGAACTCACCTCGACCTCGTCCCTGTCAAGCAGAATGAAGGAGGAGTTGACCATCATGCATCAGTGCTCAGCCCACCAAGCCCAGCATGCATGCTGCCAGACTTTGTGTCTGCAGGATCACGCAGTGCCTACCTACCATTTTATCCATCACCTCGTAGCTTTGGATGTTTACTATGAACGATCATTGCACGTCTAGGAGTACAACAGTTCTGACACTGCGCTTTCCTGAAGTTCTCCGCCTCTATTTCACCCAGGCATAGCAGCATGGCGCAGTTGGAAGCGCGCGGGGCTCATATTAACCATGTATGCCACCCTGAGGTCACTCGATCGAAACGAGTTGCTGCTAACGTCGACTAGTACAGTGATCTTTTTCTTTTCTCTACTTCTGGGACACACAGCTGGAATACGTCGCGGCAGGTTGAAGGGTTCCGAAGACACTACGTGTGCTTCTGGAACTCGGACAACTCCCCACGGCGCTTTCGACCAATCTCGTTACTTGCTGGCGCCGGGGCTCGGCGCGCGAGCTCAGCACACTAAGTGGGAGGCACTACTGAAATATATACGCTCCGCGCTGCTGACAAAGACGCCGTCTCATGCGCTCAGTGTACTTACAAATTCCACTGCAAGCCTGTCGACAATACTATTCAACTCGTTCAACGTTCAGCCCGGCCTTGGTGAAGAGCTTCCCCAAGCTCTTGCCGCTAGCCACCGTCGCCACGATTCAAGGCCCTCTAGCCCTCACAGAGTCCCTTGGTTTACCCCAGCAGCCCATGCCACCGTTTACATCAGCGAATAGGACCTGAGGAACCTTCGCAGCAAAACGCGATCGTCAATCAAAGCCGCTGTTTCCCAGGGGTGGCGCGCATCACGCCAACTTCGATCACTCACGTTCGTGTCAATGTGCCTTTGGGCGGATGACCGACTCTCTCTCCTTCAGCCTAGGCTCACACTCACATGCGCTGCGCGGATCGTGATATGTACTAGTGATTTGCACACCTGTCATCTCTGACCTCTCTTTCTTTCTGAATCTGGAGCTCCTCTGTTTGTTCAAGTGCAACGGACTTTAGCTCTTCCAATGAAATTGGAAGCCAGCAGCATGTTGGAAGCGCGCGAGGCTCATAACCCTGAGGTCACTCGATAGAAACGAGTTGCTGCTATAATTCCATAATTTTGGACTTTTTTCTAGCTCAAGCCGGAGGCACAAGCTCAGGATGATTTGGTCTGCAGTGGTTCGTTGTAGGGGTACCATGCATACTAGGTTTGCATTTCGACGGGCGATAGAGTCCCAATAAAAATCCGACCTGCCTGGCTCGAACAGGCGACCTCAAGATAACGTTAGCCATTACAGTCTCGCGCTCTTCCAACTGAGCTAAGGTCGGAGTCTCAAAGCAGACAGTGTGCGCCACTACATACCTTGTATCTTGTGCGAAACCGCTGCCCATGATCCTCAATGCTATAATTATGGCGAGTACTGCTATGTGGTCCTCATTCATATGTACCCTACGTACCACTGAGAGGGTCTGGATGATTTCGCCACAAACCCTCCCCTGCCCCGCGTAGCATTGGCCGCGAGCTCAATTTGGGACCCGGCGGGTCAGTACTTAATATCATGCGCTGGCAGTGCCAGACCTGTTCTAGAAGTCCTTGGAAAGTCTTGAGTGCCAGCCCACCGAAGAAGTGGGCATCGGGTCCATGTACATTTTGAACGATTGTCTTCAAAATCGTTATATGGAGGATGGTACCGAGACTAGGTATCGGGCTGGTGACGCTTCTTTCCTTAAGCGGAGCCTGTCACCACCGAGGTACACAACCGCCGCAAGCTGGTTATCGGACCTATACTCTATCTACCATGGGATTTACATATGTCATCGGTATAATCATCTCTTGTAAAGTCTTTTTTCGTCAATTGATCCATTGTGTGTAGAACATATGGAGGATGATGAGGACACAGCGAGATCCATTCCCCCATGGGTAGACTTGGAGTATGCGGTCCGTCCATTCGAGCTTCTGTTTCCGCATCGTTCTATTAACGGGTTTTAGCATATGCGCATCCTAGCCGGAGAGCTATCCCAAGTGCATTTTACACACTTATCCAAGTCCTCAAGCGAATCGTTATCGAAGACGTTCCAGCCCCAGGCAGGCCTTGCAGATGCTTTCTGCCACGAAATTGGTGTTATGGACCTCATAAGGTCCAGAGGAATAAGTCTCGATAATGTGTGTTTGCTCGATCCCAAAGCAAATGCGGCGTTGGCTCCAGAGGATGGCGATGGGCGATTCGACATGTTCTTGTTTGGGGTAAGTCGACTTGTACATGTGTGGATTATTTTACTCAAATCTGGCTTGCGGACCTCAGGGCATTCTAGGTGCGGCCACTTGCAATGCGTCGTTTCAGACAATCTTCTCATTGCCCTACTCAAGGCGATGATCCACCTCGCGACCGCACAGCAGAGCTTCGCCGTCTTGGTTTTCCGACGCGCCATTTGGGCCCTGTGCAGATGACCACTGACACCGCACTGGGTGTCACTAAACTTGTTGTCAAGGATAAGACTACTCTCGACAAGATCGCCTACGTGGTGCGCAGATAACAATCGAAGGCACCCAAGTTGACTGTTTAACAATCTTCCAGGAGTTCCCGACTATCCGCTTCAACGCAAGGGAATCTGTCGAAATGCCTTTCAGTGAGTCCATTGCTCCCAAGACGCTGCATAAGCTTAACGGCTGGCAGGGTATATTGCCGACAAAGATGGCAAGGAGCCTCTTCTACCACCTGGGATGAAGAAGCTCCTCCACGAAGACCTCAACAAAACGTTCGACTTCTGATATCTGAACGAGAATACTACGTCAACGTAAACCAATGATGTGCAGATAAACCAATGATGTGCAGATACACTCCTAATGAAATACAAGTAATACAAATTCCGATGAAGAGGTACTCAAACATACAGAAAGATGCCAATGCAGGATCAACGTATAACCAAGTAATGCTCTAGAGAAAACTGAGCTACGATAGATAACGGTAAAATTGCAAGGTACATAGCAGGTCGTGGCAGGAAGATGAACCAAATTAAAGGTCAATAAAGTCTACCGTCCAGGGTGGGGGGATGCTGGGGGACTGGGAGGGATGATGTGGCGGATCGTTGTCATGAAGAGCGACCGGTTGGTCTACTTGGATCCACAGGCTTAACATCCCATGGTGCGGGAATGCGGGCGACGTCGGCGAGGTTCTGGTCAGCGCGTGCATCATTGAGGCGGTCGCGGTCGTTCATGACCATACGGGCGCGACACCGGACAAGGCGAAGTTTAGTTCGCTTGATCCCTAACGAGTAACATATGTCAAAACGGCTCTTTCATAATGGAGAGAGTGACATACAAGTGCCTATTGTGTCACGATCTTCGTCCATGAATGGGTTGCCTGTCTGCAGGAGGTCGTCTTGTAGAGCGTACAAGCACCATAGCGATTCTTCGTAGAGCTTTTCACATTCGTCGGGGCTGGATGCCTGATCCAGCAATTCCTTGCGAGCGGCGGTACGACTCTGTAGCACATTGGTAAGGTATGTAGAGATGTAGACTTGAAGTCGACATACAAGGACCAAGGCACGATCATAAACCAGCTGATCGAGCCAACTCTTCGGTCCATCGTACTGCACTGGCAGCCAGGTCTTCACCAATGCAGCACGATCGTTACATTTGATGAAATGGTCCTTGAACCACGTCAATGCTACAGCAACACGCCTACGTCAGAGCCAACGCAAGGTCAAAATGGAAAGACGAACCGGCATCGAAGCCCTCGCTGACCACGAAATCACCATCCGGGTGGCGCATCTTCATGTGTTCCTGGTGGTTCCGAAGTTTGTTGATGCCCTTCTGCGAGAACGACATTAAGAGCATGTACACCGCGACGCAAGTGACAGCATTGTATTCCGCTTCCATGTCCGCGAGCTTCCGCCGCCGCGCATGCTTATCCGCTTCGCCTTCCCGTTGTGTAAATTTGGTCGGGTCTGGCAGGGGCTCTACCAAAAAGGCACGCGCAAAAAGCTTAGAAGTATGTCTCAACTTGAAGATAAAAGAAACGTACTCTGCGGCACCGCCTTGACATATTCGTACATCTCATCGGCCCAGTGCGTCAGGACCTCCGTCTTCTGTGCGAGTTCCTCCAGTGCCGCTAGCAATTCATCCTCGAGCGGGTCTCGGTCGCCGTCCGATGCCAGCGAAATTATGGGTGACCGTTTCGGTGACGATGGTATGCCATTGTATTCCCGTGACGGTGACGACCGATGTCCTTGAGAGCCAAATAGTTTCTTCGAGGCTAAACTGATGGCACGATTAAGCGCATTAGAAGCAGCACGTGAAGCGAGACTGGAAGGGGAGGAAGAAAGTGGGGGGGCCGCAGGGTTCGGAGGAGGGGGAAAGGTGATGTTAGTGGGTGTTGGTATTGGATATTCGGGTGAGTAGTCGTCGGTTGCGGGTGTTGGAGGGATCTTCCTTTCTTGCAGGGGCCGGCGCGGTTCTGAGGTGATTTCTGCCGAGGGATAATCTGTGAGATCATCGTTTGACATATCACGAGAGGACGCACCGTCTACTGCACGATTGAACTCCACAGCTCGCGTGTCGCCCACCAGGACGTATTCGCGACGCAACATTCCATCCTCCTCCGTCTCGCCGGGAATAAAAGATCCCTCTGTGGAAAGCGGCTTTGCCTGACGCCGTTCTTGGTTCAGAGACGGTCGTCGAGTCATTTCCGTAGGGTTACTGAGCTTGTCTCGTGAACCATTCGAGCTAAAAGGACTGCCTTAAGGGCAAAATCAATTTAGCCAATGATGACAAGCCTACCTATCTTGCGATATTATCACTGGGGGAGGAGTCTCGTCCCCGTCCCCGTTCCCGTTCTCCAAGCCACTTGGTCGCCTAAAGTTGAAGCGACTCGGTGGAATCATGGCCTTGGGGTCCAACACCTCTGGCGGAATAACGCGATGGTGCTCAGGCGTCGGAGGTCGGCCTGTCCACGTCCGATCCTCTTCCTGGACAATGCTCGAATCACGCGCAATTGACGACTTAGATACGCTCAGCTGCATCCGTGGAAACTTGGAGTTCGCCAGCGCCGTGCTCCCAAAGAACTCGTCGAAGCTCGCTCGCTCGATCGGGTTGCGCTTCAGGAGCGTCCGAATCAGCTTCTTCACGTCCTCCGGGACAGGGGAGTCCTCGGCACCGCCTCGACCAGTCCGCGCACTACTGGATGCCGAGTCCTCATCAGGAAACTTGATCCCTTTGGAGTGCTCAATCTTCTTCAGCAGCTCGATGTGGTTCTGTGCTCGGAATGGCGGCTTTCCGACAGACATTTCGAAGAGC